TTTTCATGAATAAAATTTCAAACTCACGACGGAGGGTTTGAAGTTGAAGTATCAACCAAGCTTGCTTTGAGGTTATCGTTGTTGCAATTCTTGAGAAGATCGTCTCATGTACAGCTTGTTGAATGAAGAACAATGTCTTTGAGTCCTTCTTTCTATTCTCCCTCAGCCTGATTTCGCCATCTAGATATGCATATCCATTCTCTATTAAGTTCCAAAGATCTTGAGATTTGAATAAAGTCTTCATCTTGATACTCCAAAATTCATAGCTTTTGCTCGAGAAGATGGGGATAAGGGGTTGAGACATGGAATTGTCGTTAAAAGCCATAATACCCAGTTCAGATTAAAACTAGGCTCTGATACCATAAATGTTAGGGATTTTGGAGGAATGATAAGAACACTTACAAGATACCAAATGCATACAGACTCTCTCTATCTTACTTGTTTCATGAACTATGGTCCTATTTATAGGACCTAGTGATAACCACCCTATAACTACTAGATTGAGGTAGTTATTGAAATCACCCTATAACTACTAGATTGAGGTAGTTATTGAAATCACCCTATAACTACTAGATCATGATTGAGGTGGTTATTGAAATCATCCTGTAATCACTAAATCATGATAATTATCTAGATACATAACTATGAATCAAATCTAATACGAATGACGTCATTCCTACTCTTCGTTTCCGAACACAAGAGCGATGATTTTTGGACATCTCTTTCCCTTTTCCCAGTTATCCAGTGACCTGTTGACGCACGATAAGAATTAGGTCTAAGGAAACTCTTTGGAATCCTCCTACTCGTGTCTTGCTCCCACACCACCGGTTTCACTCGCCAGGGAATGACTGTCACCGCGGTGCTGTGAATGGATGGAGTTGGCAGAGTGGCTTATCTGCCGAACTCCCGAGTACTTCCCTCGTTTCTGATCATAAGCTGGATGGAGTACATCAACACGTTACACCTAAGAATGCTAGAGAAAGAGGAATACATGTGTAATATTTCCTAGTATAAGCTTCCAAACTTATGGTGCAGAGAACTCATGGAAACAATCCAATCATCATCCATAAGGCAACAAACTTTGCGCGGTAGGACGGACGAGCTAGTTCGTTCTATAGAACACCCATCACACGACGCATTTGCCAGGACATCATCAGCCATCCAAATCTGTCAAGTTCGTCGCCCACCCACAACCATGGCTATAGGTTACGCGGTTCGATTAGAGCAGCAGCTACTTGAGCGTTGCTTGCGGACAACCTAACTATCCTTCTCATGCAGTGGAGAGCAGCTGCTCTCAAGGCCGACCATGGATGGCGATGCGGACAATAAAACCAAGAAACCAATGCCGGTATGCCATAATAAAGCATATCCTTTTTGTCCAACACCTGCCAGCCTCATATGGATTGCTGAACTCCAATAACATCTGCCGATTGGTTTCTCCCAACTCGTGCCATCGCCATACGATCCCACAAACGGGCGCCAATTCACCATGGAGCAGTTGTGAGAGTAGGTATGTCGGTTCACCTCGTGGAGAATTCGTCGACGGTTCGATCGGACCGAATCAGATCGATCTATCGAGGATTGTGTTCAGACCTGTCGTCTCTGGATTCATGCCCCAACATGCTGCCACCTCATCCTACGGTAGCCGATAGCTGGACTCCGAGTTGACCATTTTGGGATGTCCAACTGCCTGCTAATTTCGCAGAGACATAGTCAATCTAAATTTGGCGACAATACAATAGTCGCAGATGAGGCAGCTGAGATCGTCGTCAAAGTATTATACACAATTCCGTCGTTTCCCTATCGACCTAACAAATGATGTGAACATTGAATTCTGTAGATAATAATTACAGCCCGAAGAAAGAAAGATATATAGCATGAGTTAGTTAATCCTTCTTTTTTTCCCTAATCGGAACAGAAGATACCTACCATTTGAGGTAAGCTTAATTGGTAACACTCTTATGACCCTTTTGATTAGAGTTCCAAGAAGATAATTTTTTGTTTCTTTTATGCCGGTAATAGTCAGACAATTGATATTAGAATAATTTAAATCAAATCCTGTCTTCGAACGTAATAAAACCACCAATAATTGCTTCTTCGTGCTCGTGATGCACGACGAGAAGGATAAACACAGGAATAAATGTGATCTCTGATCACTGAGAATAATGTTGTAATCCAACGATCGAGACAAAAATCATGTGTCTCAAACCAAGTCGGAGCGAAATGAGAACGGGCGCATGCCGCAAGTTATTATTCTCGGGTGTGAGGAAACCCGGGAACTTATTCGCTCGGTCGAGCACGACGTGGACGACTTGCCGCTCTTTTGTTTTAGCCCGCATGGAACATAACACCGACGTGACAGGGTGGGTCGGCTTCTCCATCGCCCATGTCCACACGTGTATTCTATCACACGGCGAACGTAATATGGCCTAACTTCTGTCCTTAATTAATCATTAGAAAATAAATAGTAACGTTTGCTAAAACTTGTTGTGATGATAAAATGTTAGTCACATTAAAATTTCACCATTATCCACAGGTAGGCCACCTGCGGGACAAGAATGACAGTTGATCTAAAGCTTGATGAATATATAGTTAGGTTACCTAACTTGGGTTTGAAATAGATAATTTTTGCGTCGTCATAAAATTTCAGTTTCCCATCTCATAAAAAACAAAATTGACTTGACAATGCGACAGCTTTTTTCAAAAACGAGCATATATTCTCTCCATTATTATTAACAGACGCTTCGCTTACCATCGGATGCTAGTGGAGTGATGCCCATCAATGATGGGTGGGCCTCCTCGCTATTTCAAATATCTATGATGGTGTTAGCAGAAGCCTTTAGGGGAGAAAAAGATCCGATTGGCATTCAAACTGGTCCCATAATTTTCTGTGTCTTTCCCTTCTTCTCATTGCGACCCGCTCGACGTGCATCGATTCGATTCCCCTGACATCGATCAAGTGTCGTCAGAGCTGTTTACTTTAGCTGGAGATGGCCTTCGTTCATTGTATTTCCAACAGTAAGGTGCACTGTGGTTTTCTATTTGGGCCGCAAAGTCCAGTGGTCCTTTGCTACAACAAATGGCATATGAAACGATATGTGCGGTATATCAATCTGACTTACGCATATCATTTAATACGATTTATATGTATCACCTTAAAATACTATTGGTTTATGCATGTATATACATATAAGACAAGGAAATGATGGTGGGCTCATGCAGTACAGCTCCTTATAAATGGCAGGGAGGAGGAAGAGGAGCAGGAGCAGGGAGGTCACGGCATCCGACGACCCACGCCAAAAAAAACAAAACAGAAAACGAGCGGTTAGGAACAGAGAAAGCAGAGGATCCCTTCGCTCCTTCCCTTCCTCTCCTCTCCTCCCTCTCCTTAGACCTCACCTCTCCTCTCCTTCAGGGAGAGATCGAGGGGAACTGCTCAGTCTCTCAGCCATTTGTTCTGTTTCTCTTCCTCCGATCCATATCCCGAGAGTCTGAAGAGAGATATGGGGGTTTACAAGCTCATCAAGAGCGATGACGGCGTGGCGGCCGCTCCATCAGCCGAGCCCAACAAGGTCGTCGTCGACGACGTGCTGTTGTCTCAGCACAGGGACATCGAGGCCGGCGGGAAGCACAGCCATGGAGCCCCGCCAGAAAAGGAGGCCTCCGCTTCCGGGAAACGCGGGCAGCGCCTCGTATCGCTTGACGTCTTCCGAGGACTCACCGTCGCGGTAAGTTAGCCGCTCGCTCCGCATTGTTTGGTCTCGGCCCTATTTCTTAACGCCTATTTAATCTTTACTTTAATTCCGAATCCTCCTTCCATTTATTGCTCATCAATTAGGTCAAAAAATAACAATTATTGCACGATTCGATTCGGATTCTCAGCTATTTCTCTCCATAAATTTTATTGCGGTTTTCCTGATTGAGTACGTCCCTCCCGCTTCCGTTCTATTTACTATATTTTATGACACTCATCCTATCAAATGCCTAGAATTCTTTCTGTCTCTACAGAGTAATCCCTAAGAATATTTGTGCTTCTCTTCGGTGGACTTCCCTTTCGCATTTAGTTTTCCTCACTGTTACTCGGTGCCATTGTTTTCATGGCTACCATAAAATATGGCAACTAATAATTCATGTCATGTCACTTCTCATCGAATCGAATTCCACTCGTGGATAGCATTACATCCCTGGGAATTGTATTCTCCTCCTTTTTCGGCCTCGCGCTCATTGTCCATCAAACCAGGGATATGGGAGTTGGGCGCACACAAGACGAAACTTGTACGTGTTAAAATGCCCGCTCCCTTCTCTTGCGTGGCTTTGAATCCATTGCTTCCTTTCCGCGTCCATGATCCACAAGTGTCGGCTCCCAACCAATTCGGCTTCCAGCTTCGTTGCAACAACGAGGAGGAGGAGGAGGAGGCGAGAAGTTTCTTGTGTCGTCTCCTATCGTGTTGTTTTGATCTGCCGACACACATCTTGCGTTGTTCCAAGTGGTGTCAATCGGAGGTTCGATCGGAGCCGATCGATCTCTGCGTCTCAGCCGTTGCCCCCATCTACGGCGTGGGGCCCACCATAATCTTAGGACACGAACACGATTGAATCGGTGCCACGAACCCGTGGACCCACCGGTTGATCCATGGTCCCCGTCCGTTTAGGTCGCCTCTCAATTCTGGCCACCTAATGGAGAGAACATAAATCATTTCCATTCATCCTTCAATTTACATTCATTGCATGCACTTTAATCTATGCTGTAAGTAGTTAAACTATACATGTCCGTATGTACTTCATCGCGACCTCGAAGAGCCAACCAAGCTCGAATATGACTCGTGTGGACGAATCCATTGGATGTAGACTTGGTCATGTGGTCTAATGTTGTTCTTGCTTTCTCGAATGATTGAAACACTAACTGGGAAGGTGGAAGTCATGCTATTTTTTATAACATAGAACAATAGCAGTGACGGCATCAAACTCGGAAAGCAGAAGCGGCGTGTCTGAGAGTTCATTTCTTTCGGAAGGTAACTACTGACCGCTGCAGCAAGCTTCAAATTCTGGGGCAGACCTCGATTGGATGCGCGGTCATGTCATAGAGGTTGGCACGCAAGTCATCAGTGCCGACCATTGGAAAGGAATCTCTCCAGTACCATATGTCGACTCCAACTAAGAATCGACAGCATCAGAGCTGCCCTTCTCCTGCTCTGGTTTGCTTACCGACGCCCACCTTCAGTAAATAATCTGTACGTATAGCAGTTGCAGTGCTATATGTTACAGAACTTTCCTTCCATGTACTGTTTCCCACAGTCAACCTGTTCAGGTATCTGGATGCGTGGAGTGCTTGGCACGCTTGTATCATGTTCTGGTTACGGTCGGTGCTTTCCCTACCTAAATCCTCTCTTTCCATAGGACGTATGAGTTCTGGTGTAGAGTTTCGGTAAGGCAGAGGACCACTAGGGCAAGATCCTTTTGTCTGCAGAGGTGGGTAAAGTATATGGCTGCTGCAGACCTGATCTCAACCTTTTCTTCTTCTGGGCGGTGGCTGTGCCCATTAAAAAGTGGAAGCTCCATAAAACAATCACTCTTCGATACCTGGATCAGGATTTGGCTTAAGGGCTCCTGTACCTCCCATCCCTGAACTTTCCGCCGCGTGATCTGATGGATGTTATTGCCTTTACTGTCGTTGCACCGCCAAAACAAAATCCTGGTCCCGAAAATGAATACGAGTTCGTCAGAATTGCTTTTTGAGAAGCCTTTCTGAGAGAGTGGTCCCTGGTCCTTCGGTGAGTTTGAAGCCTCAGTTTGGTGCATTAATTGAGATTTTGACATTTTTCAGGTTTTCTATATTTAAAATAATTAGAAAGCTAGAGAAATAGCGAAAAAAACGTTCTCATGCATTGAAGACCTTAAAAAACAACCAAATAACTATCAATTAAATATGAAGTCTATGATACCTATTTTTAGGATTTCTGTGGGGCAATGGAAAGTTCATAGACATGAAACTATTTCCTAATCCGACAAACCATGAAAATTAACATGTACTTTGAGCCTTTGATCTTTGTTTCAAGTGGCACTTGATAAAAATCAACAGGATGTTGGACAGTGTCCCTTGACCTTTTTTTAGCTGAAGGTGTTCCTTTAATAGCAGAAATTTTGGCTGAAATGATACTATCTATGAACAATGCCGAATAAGCCTCATATAGGGAACACTCCCATTTACTTTTTTATGTCTTATGATATTGTTTCCTGTTTTTCTCTTTTGATGGAAATTGTGATATAATTCTTAGTCACATATTTACTGCAGCTGATGATATTCGTAGACGAAGCTGGATCATTTTTTCCTGCGATCAATCATTCTCCTTGGGATGGTGTGGCCCTTGCTGATTTTGTCATGCCATTTTTCTTGTTTATAGTTGGAGTTGCACTTGCACTTACATACAAGGTAAGCTAATTGCTTGACCAAATGCTTAATCCTATACTGGAAATTCTACATTTTAGTGGATTAAGTAATTTAATTTGGTAGTTAGAAAAGAATGTTAATGGATTATAGTTACAGCATGCATCTTGAGTACAAGAAAGATGCAATTTACACTTAGCTTTGTGCTCAGAGAGTCACAAACCAAGCCGTAGCAACTTGGAAAGCATTACTTCGAGCACTGAAGCTCTTTGTTGTAGGTCTCGTTGTTCAAGGTATACAGCCCTTCCCCTTTACTACTTCAAAATACACTAATATTTCTGTGAACTTATTTGAGGAAATTTGGTTCCTTTTTTGTTTTTGTTACCTTATTGTGTATTTGGTTACTTCCTAAATTCTTATTATTTTCTTAGGTGGCTATTTCCATGGTCTTCACAATTTAACTTATGGAGTTGATATTTTGAGTATTAGATGGATGGGTGTACTACAGGTAGGAGATGCACCCTGATGCTCACAAATAATGTGTTTTACACAGTGTCATTAAGCTTTATGATGATTTGTACACAATCATTGTAGTTTCAATTTTGCTGTCAAAATTAAGCAGTTATGTCGATTTCATCCCAAAAAGCCTTTTTTCTTTTTAAATGGATGAATTTAAGCACATTGTAATAATTTGCATTAGAGATGAACGTTTGTTGTGCTCATTAAAATCTTCTTCAGACTCAGCTAGATTGGAGCCACCTATTTGATTTCTCTAAACAAGTGAAATCTAAACAAACAGTGTGAGATGAAATCTCTCTGAACAAGAATTCTCTGTAATCTTTAGATGCTCCAATTAAACTCCTTAAGAGCCCACAGCCATCGGTCTAATATAAACCTTATAGAGTATATACAAGATATCTGCTGATAAGATGCTAATGATCATATCCACTACGTTGCAAATAGTGAAATTTGTGTTGTCCACTAATTATTAGGCAATCGTTTTATGAATTACTCTCGTCTTTTGTAGAGGTTATCTATTCAACTAAATAATCTTCCTTGCAGAGGATAGCGATGGCCTATCTGTTAGTTGCAATATGCGAAATCTGGCTTAAAAGTGACGATGTTGTTGATTCTGGATATTCCTTGGTCAGGCGATACCGATTGCAATTGTAAGTATGTCAAGTGTGTTTGATCAATCTTTCTAAGTTACTCTCCAGTCAAGCATCATGGTGACTGTATCAACAAAAGTGTTTCAGAAAGCTAAAAGGCTTAAATAAACAAATGAAAAAGAAAGGAACAGATACAGCAAGAGATAATTGGAGAGTCGAACAAAATAGGTAGAGAAGCATTAAAGAAAGCTAGATAGCTGGACCAGTCTATGATTGTCGCATGTATTAATGATGCTGTAAATCGATTCAATGCAAATTCCTTGTTTCATGTAGGCTGGTGGGTTTGATTCTTACGATCATGTACATGGTTCTTCTCTATGGTTCGTATGTTCCTGATTGGGAGTACCAGATTCCAGGGCCAGGCTCCACGCCAAAGACCTTATCAGTAAGTTGCACACAGTGTTAGATCAATGCCTAGACTTCGTCATTTTGTACCTTGTGATCTCTTCCAATGATGAGTTTCTCCCAGTATATATTCCATTAACATTAATATTTATATTCATAAACTCTAGGTGAAATGCGGAGTGAGGGGTGACACAGGACCTGCCTGCAATGCCGTGGGAATGACCGACCGCCAAATTTTTGGCATCCGACATCTACATAGACGTCCTGTTTATGAAAGGACAAAGGTTTCACATACGCTGCATCTACTTCAGTTGATCAATCCGTGAGGTTTCCCCTCCATAACTTTTTGTTACTCTTTCTTCAGCAATGCAGCATAAACTCACCAGCTAGTGGCCCACTACCACCTGATGCTCCTTCATGGTGCCAAGCTCCTTTTGATCCTGAAGGATTACTTAGGTCAGCTTTTCTTTTGTCTTCCTTGCTGCCAATCTGCAGTTTTGTCTTCGTCCTCTTTTGATGTCATGGCAACTAAAGCAAACAAGTTGATGCTGCAGTTCTGTGATGGCAATCGTGACTTGCTTGATCGGTTTGCAATTCGGACATGTTATCATACATTTTAAGGTGCTGATAGTTGATATTTGTACACTATCTTTGGATCAAGAAATTTTTTGTTGCGGTGAATACTTATCACTGTTGAAACACTGCAGGATCACAAGGACAGAATCGTTCAATGGTTGATTCCTTCCTTTTGTCTGTTGGCCTTGGCCTTCTCATTGGACTTCTTCGGTATCCTCCGGATTACCTTCCTTAACGTCATTTTGGTTGTGATGTGTACAATCAACTAAACTCATCTTTGTTTCAGGAATGCGTATGAACAAGGCTCTGTACACATTAAGTTATACGTGTGCCACTGCTGGAGCTGCTGGGATGCTCTTTACTGGAGTATATGTGCTGGTTGGATGTCCAAAACTTTTTTTCTTCTTTCCGAGCACTAACGTTCTCTGCTTATATCTGTAACGCTGCTTAATCTTTACCATTTTTTATGTCTACAGGTTGATGTCGGTGGCTATAGGAGGCCAACCTCGGCTATGGAATGGTTGGGGATGCATGCGCTTATGATCTACATTCTAATTGGCTGCAACGTCTTCCCAGTTCTTATCCAGGGATTCTACTGGAGGGAGCCTCAGAACAATCTTGTGAGTAACCTACTCCGGTAAACTCTTCCCTTCATGCCAGCTTCTGCTTCCCATACGTGCATGCTAACCACACAAGCAATTGTTTCCATGGTCTATGAACAGTTGAAGGTTATTGGCATTTCCTAGACCTCCTCAATAATTGACGAAGGAATCAGATTGCTGCCACATTCTGTTGAGGATCGTGGTCTGGCTTCTAACCCTCGTCTTCACCAAAGTAAAAGCTATCTCAAGCGTCTAATGCTTGGGAGACAAGACTCTAGATGTTGTAGGCTCTGCTGTGATGAGCACAGAGGTCCATCCAACAGTGCCCTTTTCTGAGCCTATTATGTGGTGCTTGATAACTCGAGTTGCAGACTACCAAGTTTTGTCATGTAGTACCACCAGTTCTGGCGCTGACCAATTTCATGCAGTACATGCTGTATACCCAGTAACACCAGATATTTACTATTGATAGAGATCTACCTGGAGGAAATTATTTGTCTCCAAAATTATCCATGAAATTTTAGCACTTGATGGCAGCAGAATGGTACCACCAGCGTAAAAGTTGCATGCTACTGAACAAAAGGAGGGGCAAGTAGGGGAAATTAACTCAGTAGACGAATCATCTGGAGCAACAAAGATCAACAGCTGCTTGTTTTTTTCTTTTCTTTTAAACAGAAAACAATTTAATCGAATCAGCGAAAAGATCCAGAGGCCCAAATAGTCCGAACTTGAACTGGAGAACCCCGAGAGAAAGACTTCTCTTGAGTAAATATATTTATATTTCTACTAATGTGACAAAAAATTATCATGACCCTTGACATGTCCTTGAGGATCTATTACAAGGACCAAGGAGGATGATGGTTAATATGGTTGATGATTTCTATCTAGCTAGCACATCGGATCGGACGATCACCTTCGTCCAACCTTCCTTTGTTGCACTGTGCAATAGCTACCTACAAGAATAGCCAGCCTTGCACTCCACCATCCTTGCTCTGCTGGTTGCAACCAATAATTCGCAAACCATAGCCACCACACCACCTGATGTGTCCTGCACATAATACCCAAACCCATTAGAAGCTGGTGTTTGCACGAAAGAACCATCGCAACTTATGACCTATGGCTCCGTTTCCTTTCCCGTGATCTAAGACTTGTTATTCTCTCAACATCTGATAGAAGTCGCTTGTACAAGCCATCAACTTCCTAACACATTCCTTGAGCTCTCGAGCGATCTGATTAGCACTATCGTATTCCCCAACCTGTTGTTGTTTTTGGCACACGGGTGTCAGGGATGGATGTCACTGCTCGTACTTGTCAGTGAGAACTCTTACACACAATTTCTATCCATTGAGCTCATATTATTTTTCAAATAATTTTTAGCTCTCTAATACCGAGTCCCCTCTTGTTCTTGTTAGCAAAAACAATATTTCAAATGAGAAGATGTCGTCTTTTCATGTCCAGAGAGACTGCTCTTATACTATCCCTAAACCTTGCTTGCTGGTGGGCTCGTTAAAAAAGATTCGATGGCTTTCACCAAATCTACCGTTAAATATGTAACTCGCAAGATACTTAAGGGGTCATTTTCCCTCCTTAATTTTTAGTGACTGTTTGGTGCTAGGATTATATTTGTTCAAGAAAAGAATCTCTAATTTATTCATATTGAGGGTACTAAAAATCTAAAAGTTTTTGGATAAATCCCAATAGACACCATTAGATAAACAGGGAGCCTGCAAGTGCTTATCCCACCCCTAGAAGCAGCATTAGTATTACTTCCCAATAGATTCATGTACCAATCAACAAAACAATTAGATATTTCATCCCCATTCTTTATCTTAAAATCATCATCTCTCGTAAAAAAGAAAATCTAAGGACAACATCATATGCGCAGAACATAAAATAAAAATCTTAAATTTTCTAAAAGGTGTTTATCGTTGTACGAAGATTTATATACAAAGATTCACAAAACTGAAACTCATATGTGAGATAATTATGTTACCTAGGGAGATTGTATATTCCTAAATTTCTATATATCTATGAAAGAAGATGAAGAAGATCAAGTATCTTCCTTTCTAGCGATGATCCACGTGCCAATGGTTACAAAGATGCTCCTCGAATCATTATCCAAATCTTCACACTTGCTATATGAGGAGGAGAATAAGAAAGGAGAATAAGAGATAGCAGCAAAAAAATATTTAATCTATGACCCTTTCATTCTCCTCCGTAGTTAATAAACTTATGAAAACACTTAGTCTCTTTTCATGATCCTTTGGGTTTTAACCTTATTCCATCATTTATGATGTAGTTGACAATTGAGAGCTAAGATTTTTTATGGAGATAAATTAAGTTAGTTTCCTCCCCCTTATTTAAACACTTTCGATCAGTCTTGTCCACGAGCTTCTCAATCTCATAACTTATTTCTCTAAGCTTCTACTCAAGACTCTCTTTATACCTCCTCCATCTTATAGTCGAGGCACTCAAACCATTGAGAATATTATAATCAAATCCAAAAATTTTGTTTCTTTTCCCCTTCTCAACCATACAATCAATCCTATTGAGGTGAACAACTTGGGTAAAACTATAGGCATCCAACCAGCTATCATTCATAAAGATCCAATCAAATTTGACAGAAATTGTTACACCATGAAACCTAAGACCATGAAAGTTGACTTCAATTAACCCAAAAGTAGAGATAAAATTCCTAAAATCCATAATAAAAGGAGAGTAAAAGAAAGGTTTACCCCCCCAACTTTATCATCATGTGAGGAGATTATATTCATGTCTCCACACAGAATTCATGGCACATTATTAAACTCATAAGAAGCAAGTAAATTCCAAAGATTTCTACGATAAAAGAAAAAAAAAAAGTACTTGCATAAAATTATCGTAAGAATCCAAGAGAACTTACCTGTGTTGTTGAATACTATGCTAATACATTTGTGTTTACTAACCATCTTTGCCTGAAGTCGCTCCTCATCCCATATCATTAGAATCCTTTTTTTATCATCTCTCAGCCTCAATGAAGTCACTCTTCCATTTTTGGCGTAATAAGTGCATAGCAAAGTAAACATAACTAAGTTATGCTCTTTTATGAGATATTTAAGATGGGCTAAGCAATTTTTCTTGGCCGCACATTTGCAATTCCAAAACAAAAAATTCATTTCTTCTTTGACCTATGTTTAAATGAGATTACGAGAGGGTTGATACTTCCTAGAGGGAGTTTTTTTCTAGCTTTCCTTCCTTGACTACTTGCCACCCTCATCCATTTGGGATCATGAATTTGGGTTTCAGCTCTTTAGCTTCATTTGTCACTCTTCGGAAGACTTCAGCTGTCTTTTTTTTATCAATACTAGGAAGGGGATGATGATGATCCTCATCACTAGCTTGGAATTAGTGTCCTCTTGTCTTTTCCATATGCTTCGCTGCTTGGAACCAAAAGTTGTCAGCACCAAGGTTTCTTTCCTTGCTCCATCACTGGGTCAGGATGATGATCCTCATCTCACTCTCCTCGTATTTTCTCTAGAGAGTTGTCTTACTTGGGGATATTCTTCTCGAGCAAGAAAAAATATATTTATTAATTATATTAAGAATGTAGTTTGTCTCTATAAATATATGATAATAAAGACAATCAAAAATTGATTTTTGTCAATCCTACCTAATCATGTCATGCACTTTCCTGTCATATATAAATAAGAATTAAATAGAGAAATACTACATCTCGAATGTGAGGTGGTAGATTGCATCTGAAATCATGAAATTAGTACATATGTGCCACAACCATTGAAGATTATATGGTAACCAATTTCATAACTATATCTACATCACGAGGACCCGAGTTCTAACCCTTTCACTAATTAATTCATCAGAAGTTTCAAAGCTAAACAGCTAAACTATAAACAGCTAAACTACTCTAGCACTGTAACATTTGCAGCAGGAACCACAGTGACAATGCTCCCACACATTTGTTTACTCTGTTAAAAATTCTCCTGGCAGGGCAGCAAAAATATCCATGTACATATACGATCACATAAAATCACACCATAAGTGTGTTAACATTCAAGAAAATCGATGAATGCCAATTATTTTTACTAGCAATCACGGAGTGTGATTAGTTGGTCCACGACACTGGGGTCAGCAAGTGTACTGGTATCTCCGAGCTCGTCCAGCTGCCCGGATGCAATTTTTCGTAGAATCCTTCTCATGATCTTTCCACTTCTCGTCTTTGGCAGTCCGGGTGCCCAGTGAATTTTGTCAGGGGCAGCAAATGCACCAATCTGACAAGAAATCCTTTTTGGTTAGTAAATCGACAAAGGAGCTCATTCATGCTTGTGTTAGAGACAATGATCCATAAGTGAAATAAAAAAAATAGTTGTTACCGAGGTGATAAGGTGATACTGTGCATCCATATTCTGAATGTGAAAAAGTGAATAAAGCAATTCCATTCTCGTTCATTAACAGTATGATATATAGGCACAATCTTCTAAGAAGTTGTTAATTGGTGGTAATCAAATAGTTATTGGCCACTTGTATTTTGAGTTCAAGTACATTTTAGATTATCGAAACTATACCTGTAGTTGTACTTTTCTATCAGATCAGTTTTCTTGATTGGTAAGATACAAAGATCTACAAGAAGAGTGCACCTGGTTTCTAACTGCCAAAACAAGGCTTTTCCGGAGCTCTTCACTGAATGGAATGCCCTCCACCAAAGTGACAAAAGCATAAATGCCCTGCCCTTTGATCTGATAACAAGAATGGTTAATGAATCAGAGGATGACATATGAATGATGCTTAATGCTTTCTTTGTTGTAGCCACCACAAGGAAGGTATTATCATACCTCATGTTCAACACCAACTACGGCAGCTTCTGCACACTGGGGATGCGAGACCAGAGCAGATTCTACCTCTGCAGTGCCAATACGGTGTCCACTGAAAAAGAATTCAAACATTATAATCCATCAAGGTCATAAAATACAGCAATAGCGAAATTGTCGAGAAATGCTGTGGCTTGATGAAAATCTGTCTAATTGTAGTGAATATGCTAAGCATGTGTGTACCTCACATTGATGACATCATCAACTCTTCCAGTGAGCCAAAAGTAACCATCCTTGTCTCTACCATAATAATATAATAATGGAACATTATAATAATCAAAACCAAGATTTTTTTCCAAATTAAACTATGCAGAGATCAGCATTCATTAAACATATATTGGTGGAGATGAAAGAGGAACTTTCGATCAACTGACAGTCTGGGGAAAGTTACCTTCTGCATCCATCGCCAGAAAAATAATAACCAGCAAATGGTTTAAAATATGTGGTTTCATATCTTTCATGGTCACCGTAAAGCGTACGGAATGCACCAGGCCATGACTTCTTGATGCAAAGATATCCACTGCATTCACCTTCTATCTCATTCCCTTTCTCATCAACTATGACTGTCTGCAATAGTATCTCAAACAGTATTGGAAAATTAAAAAAAAATATTTCACATTTAAAACCCTTATTTCCATATGTGAATTACATTAGTACATACCTCGATTCCGAAGAAAGGAAAGGTAGCAGAACCGGGCTTCTGGGGCCAAGCACCAGGTAAAGGCGTAATCTGTACACAAACCATAGAAGTTAAGCCATCGGACTTCGACTGAAGGAAAACAATTAAGTTGTGATTTAAATAAAAATTCACAGAAAAGCATACACATATTACATCAAAACAGCTACTGGCCATCAACAAATACAAGGACAGGAACATTCGCTTACCATGAAGCCACCAGTCTCTGTTTGCCACCAGGTATCTGATATAGGGCATCGTGAATCCCCAACAACATTGTAAAACCACCTAGTTTGATGAATATAATACATTTAAGAAATCTTTTAAGCTACAAAAGCAAGACACAGAAAGGTAGTCCAAGGAGTCGGGGCCGAACCTCCATGCACTAGGATTAATTGGCTCGCCTACACTACCAAGAACACGCAGAGACTTCCGGTGGTAGCGAGTGACATACTGCATGAAAGCACGTGCCAGTGGGATCAATAAAAATACATACTCGGATAGTTAAATGGTTGAGGAAATATGTACAAAGAGAGTAAGTATGCTATTCCGCACAAGAAAATTACTTGTATACAATTCTTGTTAGTAGGGTAAATATACCAAAAGAAAGAACATTTACCTTTTTGCTCCAAACAGGAAAACAAATAAATATACAGAAGGTATAGCTATCTCTGTCATTTTCGTAGAATAGGTTATTCTGTTGGAAATGACAAATAACTTGTCAAACATATCCCTTTGACCAGTCAGAACAAGTTCCAAAAAGATAAGGTTATTTGGCAAGTTATTTCAGGTTATTCTTATGACAACACGTATTCCACAATCAAATGGCCCCCCTATTGCCTAAATAATGGACAGAGACACAAAAGTGTGACTTAAGGGAGCAAATTCAACAAGATGGAGTTTCTTGAATGCAATTTACAATATAAATGCTGGTGAAGTCATGCAAGAATGTTATAAGGAAACACATGCACAGTAGATGGCATGGTTTGTGGTCGAGGAACTTCACAAGAAATTATAAGACGAGAGGAGGGAGGTAACTTATGCAGGAACTTCCAGGGTATTAATGAAATGCTCAAGAACCTACTTTAGTTTATCGGGCATGTAATAAGACACACATTTAGGGTACCATTGGACAGACATAGCATTCACTGGAACAGGTACTGCTACTGCAAATTATTCCTGATATGTGGAAACTAAGCAGATATTAAAGTCTGAAGCAAAATGGATATAAAAAAGTTGAATATGAAACAAACCAAAAAGTGCAATCATGATAGATGAAGTACACCCCAAGGTTATTACCTCATCACTCTCACGCATCAGCGAACGCACCAGGGTTGGGGCTGTGTAAAATATTGTCACCTTGTATTTATCAACAATGTCCCAACAACGTCCAGAATCGGGATAGTTTGGGGCCTGCAGATATTATTCACAAGGTATTAACAATATCAGAATACCTCATTAACATGAAAAAATAAAAACAGTATTGAGGGCCCAAACATCTAGTAAAAGATAAGAAAAAAGGTGAACAAGGTTCTAAATTTGCAAACAGCCGATGAACTGAATCTAAAATTTTAGGAATCAAAACTGGGGACATTGCATTCAGAAAGGACATCTATTCAACTTCTTTGTCGTTCAAGAGAGGAAAGGACTATTGCAGATAGTTACCCCTTCAAATATCACAACAGTGGCACCATTCAAGAGAGGGCCATACGTAACATAGCTGTGCCCTGTTATCCAACCACAGTCAGCAGTGCACCTGAGTCAGAAGGATAAGAGATAAGAAAGCGTTGCAGAACATATTGCCAAAATTACATTAATAAACATGCTCTGGAACAACCCGTGAACACAAACACCAGCATACCAGTATATATCTGATGGCTTATAGTCGAATGCATACTTGAATGTTGCCGCAGAATACACCATATATCCCCCAGTTGTGTGTAGAACACCCTGCATACGAAAGCATAAATAACCCACATTCAGCATTAAAAAAAAAGGCTGAAAACAATTAAGATAAGAAAGCTCTGTAACCTTTGGTTTTCCAGTGCTACCACTTGTGTACAAGAGAAATAGTGGATCTTCTGCATCAACCCATTCCACAGAGCACTTTATTGGAAATTGTGGGACAACATCCTGAATATTGCAATATGGAAGTGAAAAATGGTGTCTCATGTACTAATTGCAAATCAGAGAATGTAATCAAGATGCCAGTTTTGTGCTAAGCATTCAACGGTAACACATTTCATCAAATAACTCAAAGTTCATCTGAATTATGCTGATACTAAGCAACCTATCGGACTGACCTGCCACCATACATCTCTTCCTTCCTGCCACTTGCTGTCTTCTCTCTTCATGGCCGACTTGTTTTCAAAAGTCAAACAGAGGCCTGGTCAACACAAAAGAAAAAGACACGAGTGTGATCAGTAAAAGGAGAAAAGAAGATCACTCAAAGGTGAATAATGCAAAGTATAGAGAACAAAAGCCGACAACAAAAGAGAATTCAGTTCGAACAGATAAAAAATCTTTCTATCATGTTGCACACAGAACATCGAGATTCCTTATCATAACAGCTTGACGAGACTAGATACACTTAGTTTAATCCCATGGCAATTCCAAAGGACATAAAGGACATGTAATAATGTCATTCTCCATCTTTCTTTAAAACTTTGCATTTGATACTCCTTGTATACATCTTAGCCAAAATAGATAAATCAATTTGGTAGTAAATTAAATGGATTATTAAAAAAACTCGAATATGGATGTAAGTCAACAAGGATGAGAAAGAACTGTCTATATTCAGAGGCAGACAATTCAATGACCTGCCACGATATACATGTATTACTCCATGACATATTAAAATTACTCATTTAAAAAAATAACATACCTACGGAGACTCCATTTTTGACAGATTCAATTAGAGCACTGTCAACTATCTCTTTGAGGTGAATTGCTTTGGAACCTCTCCTCACAGCATTGCAGGTAATTACAGCTTTGGGTTTGCAGTCAATAATCCTTTGTGCAAGGGCCTCCGCAGAGAAGCCAGCGAACACAACCTTAACAGAGTCTCCAGCATGTCACTTTACCAACACAGATCTCAACTCCATTGCTCCGAAGGAAAAATTCATCAGCTTACCGAGTGGACTGCACCAATTCGCGCACATGCTAGCATTGCAATTGGCAACTCCACTAGCATAGGGAGGTAAATTACCACGGCATCTCCTTTCCGAACACCAACATGTTTTAAATAATTGGCAAGCTATCACAGCATACACAGATGATCAATTAAACAGGACAAACCCATGGTTCTTTCAATCAAATTTGGAATGGTTCACAGCGTACCTGGCAAACCTTCTCCAAAAGCTCTGCATAGGTCAGCTGCCCATCATCACCTGGTTCATTGCCTTCCCAGTAGATAGCAACTTTTCCACCATTCCCTGCCTCAATGTTCCGATCCAAAGCATTATAACTTATGTTCGTACTGCCTCCTTTGAACCACTGCGATCAGCAACGACAATACCACATGAGGTCTAGTGCAGACGATCATTTCAAATCGACCAAGCTTAAACATCACACGCTTACCTCGAACTTTACAGTCCCCTTCCTCGCATCAATGTTCTCGCTGTAGACCTCCGGATCCCACTTGTTATTCCAATAGAACTGCGAAGCAATCTCCGACCAGAACCCCGCAGGATCCTCTATCGAGCTCTCGTACATTTTTCGGTACTAATAGTTCATGAAATCAATGCAGAGATCATAAGCATGCAGATTAATTGGAGTAGAAAAGATTTGCCAAAATAGAAGATATCATAATCTCTTTGTTCTCCAAAAAAAAAGAATATTTTCTTACGGAAGGAAAAAATCTTCATAAATAAAAACAGGATCTTTAAGCCAATAACCACCCTTTTGCCTCGCGACAGCCGGGATCGAGGGCTTTAAAGGGACGGGACGCACCTGTTCGGGGGAGGAGACGAGGGCCTTGCGGGAGAAGTCGTGGGAGGGGAAGACGAGGTCGTTCTCCTCGGAGGCGAGTGACTCGCCGAGGATGACAGCGTTGAGATGGGAGATCCGTCCGGCGCCGGACGGCAGCTGGGCCATCGACTCCACGTGCCGGAGGCGGTCAAAGGACGCCACGTGCGTAGATGCAGCCTCCGCCTCCGCCTGACGTGCCGTCATCGCGGAACGAAACGGTCACGTCGACCCGCCGCCTCGACCAAGAGACGTACACGGGAAGAGTGAGGAGGAAGGCCCCGACGGAAGGAAGCAATGCCAAGGAGATGCGATGTCCATTCGAAGCAAGAATTATTTATTGCAATCGTGATGCACCATTCCGCAATACAATTCAAATATTGGTAACATTCATTTACCTATTTATCTATGAGATTTACTGGATGGGAGGGGTAGATCAGACAAGACAAAGATTGGGTTGGTAGTTGACTTCACATTGGATCACACTACTTGGTTGGCACCGCAAGAACCGGAAAGTCAAAGAGGATTTAGGTGACGGTCATGGCACGGACTTGAATCATCGTTGGGTAGTGGTAGGAATAATGTGGACATCTTGGATTCCGGTGTCGAACGTTTGGGTAAGCGACGAGCGTCGTAGCGAGGATTTGCTGATGCGAAAGGGAAATTTGCCGGATACTATCTATGTTTGGTATTCATTGATGATTGGTTGGTTGTTTGTTATTTGGGTATATTTCGCGTTGACAGAGGAACTAAAGGTCAAATCTTTCATTTGACTATGTCAAATTTTGTTTTGCGTATGTGAGCCCGAATTTAAGCGTAGGGATCGGATGTGTGCGTGCTATCTTTCTACTTACCTATTGGCGTTAGGTGGATCCCGAAACCTTCGACTACTCACCACGCAGAATGCCATCATACGAATCCTTATTTTCAAGTGATTGTGTATGGTGTTCTATAGCTGACAAGAAAAGAAAATAGTTAGTGTAATCATGTGATGCCCGAAGTGGTGGGGTTATTGAAGTCTTTGTCACTGGGATCGTTGAAGCTGGTGACATCCAATCATGACATGGACAACGTACAAACACTACATCCAAACATGGCAGAAGAGGAATATGGGCCTTCATTGGGCCGTAAAGAACGACGTGTTGATTTGGGCCTATTCGAGAACAATGTCTTGAATTCTTACGTCCATAAATCCCGATAGGACGTGACATGCAATCCGACCGTGTCTTGGAGTAAGAACACCAACAGATTTTGGGGCTGATTGCATCAGAATCGAGATAAATTTCTTATGTTGGTTCAATGGTGCATGGCATGGATGATCGGGTAAAGCCAGCCTACTGACGAATCTTTGCACAGAAAAAAGTTCTGTACAATGTCAGAGATGCACAAAAATCTCCTGCAGGTGCAGGTCATGGCCACACTGGACTGAGTATTCTCTTGCCTCTTGGCAAGGTTGTAAGGCCAGTTAGAAGGAATGATAGGATGGCAATTGGATCCGAAAGAGAACCACTAAATATTAGTCACCATCAGGTCTGAGCTGATACTTTTTGTCCTATACGTGCAACCTGTCTGTTGTCTCATTATCCAGGAAAAAGGATTCTGTCTGAAGCTACTTATGTAAGTCCATTAGCTCATGTCTTCTACTGTATGGTCGGTCGATTAAGCTGTTGCAGGGGCTGTCAGGAGATCACATCCTTCCTAAACCATGCCATTGACATTTTATGTCTTTTTATCGAGACAGAATAATGTCATTCCCACGTTGATAGAGTCGAAAATAGTACATGAAAGAAAGCCTTTAGTAATGAGTTTTTAATGCATCTGTATTTGATTTTTATCCAGAAGACATTCCTTCTCGAGGTTGAATCTTATCTTCTTACCACCTACGAATGGATTCACAATACATGTTTTAATCATATACGTATAACCATCAGAAAAGTTTTCTTAAGAACAAGAAGGAATCGTGTTATATTGTCCACATTCAATCAACAGTAGTATAATAAGGAAAATTTCTATTCTTCTCACGTAGATCATAGCATTGAGCTGTGCTGGTCCTTTCCCATGTTTCCTTAGTTTTATGGCCATCACATAATTACACCCACTCTTTCTATATAAATGAAGAACAATTAGTGGAATCGAGTGAATATTATTGATCATCCAAGTCCGTAATTATGTCAATTTATAAGCAATCCGAGTCTTACTCCTTACCTGAAACAGTCTGTGAAGGGGAGTCGGCCGGGAATTGACCCGTCGACGGAGTCACGGCCAGAAAAAGTCGCTGAAAGTAATAGCGGATTGCACCCATCGAGGAAGCTTTCGTTACTCTGTCGTATTCGAAACGATACCTTTTATATCTCCTTTCTATTACGCACGAAAAGACAAAAAAGAAAAGCAATCCCATTTCCGATGAACCATGCAACATACACAAATTATACCTCGAAATGTGTTATATGAAATAGAGTGACTCGATGTTGCATGTTATTCTCTATAATATTATAGTTATATTTAACATCTCGATTTTTATATATTTTTTAAATTATATTTGTTATTTCTATATTTATTATAAAAATAAAAAATTTAATTATATTTATTTTCACATCATTAATTTTACTGATGAAAATATTATAGGATTTATCACTAGAATGACTCTAACTTGATTTATCATCAAGTATTATGTACGTGTGATATTTTCTCATGCATGAAAAAAGAAATATTTTATTTTTATAAACATAAAAAATTAAATATAAATGTTAAATATATAAAGATAATTAGTTGCTGGAGATCATATCTAATTAGCTCGGTTCCGAATCCATGCGTGCACGACGTTGGTGTTGCCGTTACGGTGCGTCACTCTCCTCTGCGTGGGCTATCCTCGGCCAGTCGCGGAGGTCTTCGGGTGGCAGAATTCGCGGCTTGCATGTCGCGGTGCGAGTGAACGCGAAGCCGCGCCCCGCCCTCGAGCCTCGCTCTCTCGTCTTCTCTTTGGCCTCCTCTCCCACCACCTGCTCGCCTCACGCAAAAAGTCCACTTCTTTTTTCTGATTCTGATGGATTCCCGCGGCCCCGCGACTCAATCATTCTGTCCCGACGCCGAGAGCAACCGATGTGTTCGATCCCATAATCTAATCTCAAGTTGATGGGCTTTTTAATCAATCAATACACGCAGTGGAATCCAACACGCATCTTGGGAAGCTGGTCAACCGGTCCTTCTTCTCCTCTATATCTTCCTCCCATCCGTGCCCTCCCAACCACGGACTCAGCCGAAGCCTCCTTCAGCCTCCCAGAAACCCTGTAACGCAACTCCAGGTTGGCAGTCCCTGCACAGCGTCTCCTTTTCGTCTGCGCATTTTCCATCATCAGGTGAGTCCCTTGTGAGCCTCTGTACCCTTGCGCTTGATTTCTCTGGATACCTTGTGATTTATTGCGAGATTTGGTTTTGGAAGTTGCTGTATGCCGATAAATTTCTCTTCTTTTTTTTTTTGGAGATTACGTCTCTGAAAGCTAGAATTTTGCTCACTATGATAAATGTTTTCGACTCAAAATTTCATGTGCCTATAGAAGGAATGGTATTCTGGCAAGGTTTGCTTGTATGTCGTATTTGTAGTTATCGGAATCAAGGAAAGCTCCTCCTGGCTACCACTTCGATCTGTTAGAGCGATATACCATGGGGCAAGCAGGGCATCTCCATCGTGTAATGATGCGTGTGATTTGAGTTAATGGAAGCAGTGGTACATGTCTCGAATCTGGTCTCGTTTCCTTTTCGCACCATGTGTTATCGTTTGGCTCTAAAGTCCCTCTCTCGCTTTGATTGCAGAAGGTGTCTCTTAAGAAATTAGGTGTTGGGACTGTTCTTGCTGGATCTTACCCGTGGGTTCATTCGTTAAGCAGAAGACCCCCCTTTAGTTGGCAGGTGATGCCTTTTGCCCCTTATCTGTTCGTGTAATTTCCCGTATGGAGAGGATGGATTTCAGGGAAGCAGAGGTTTTCTTTGAGGATATTGTAAAGGTTTCATTATTACTTTTATGTCACAAAAGATTGAATTTCAAAAAATTAATATGCCATTATCCTCATCTAGGAAACATGTGTTTGCAATATAGAGAACAATCTTGCCACTTTCATTGTGATGAATTGCACGATTCATCAAATTTACACATATTGGAGGAGTCAGTTTAATTTTATCTCGGACTGAGGGATGCTTTGTTTCATATTAGAAGATTGTACAGCAACATATATGTTGGCCTCTTCATCCACTTTCCTACATATTTTCCCTTCCTTTCAATAGCTCGTTGAGGAACATAAAAAACCGATACAGTAAGCTTCCACCAAAAACAAGGTACTTTTGCAGGTTACCTATTGAATCCATATGTTGACATTTTTTTGCAGGTTATGTGTGTTTTTGAGTACAAGTGTAGAAAATTCTGTCATCTCAAGAAAAATGGGAGCAGAAATTTCTCTTGAAGAAAGAGCCAGGCACAACCATCAATGCACGAGAAGCCTCCCATTTCTATGTTCTGAGAAAATGGAGGAATTTGACAAAAGTCCCAAATCTTCAAGTGACCTCAATGTCAGCTTTGGCTACCAGTGCAGTGCCTATCAAAGCAGTCTTTGTTCTTCTGAAGTTAATTATAAGTTTGAACTCTCTTCTGGTGTTAATATCCAAGAATCTAACATCAACAAGATGCGGAATAGTTCTTTCTCTTGTTTGTCTGGTGCTGCGCTCAGTGCAAATCATACCTTGGCAAACACAAATATATGCAATGGTGTCATTGGAGAGGAGATTTTACCTGAGCTAGATTCACCACAGTCTTTCAAAAGGGTGTTATCTTCTGCATCTCTTTCAAGGCTGGACTTGCATTCACCGTCTTCTCCCTCTGACAGTGGCACACTTGAAGGGGTTCGATCATCAAGCTTTTTAAATGCTATGGATGTACAAATGGCTGGTGGAGCAGCCGGGGAAGACCGCGTACAAGCAGTATGTTCTGAAGAGAATGGATGGCTCTTCTGTGGAGTATATGATGGTTTTAATGGACGGGATGCTGCTGATTTTTTAGCTGGAACACTTTATGAAAACATAGGCTATAACCTATTCCTGTTGGAGTGCAAGATTAGTCAACAAAATAATGAGAAAAATGTTCAACATCCATCCGGAGGACGCACCACTAAAAGTGAGCTGTCTTTGGCCATCGAGAGCTTAAACAACAAGTTGAAGCCAAACTTGTTCCTGAATTCTACAGAAGAATGCTCAACTGAGTCATTTCGGCTCGGTGTCCTGAATTGCCTTACTAGCGCCTTAGTCCAAGCTGAAAATGATTTCATGTATAGGGTTGAGCAAGAAATGGATGATCGCCCTGATCTAGTTTCTGTTGGCTCTTGTGTCCTAACGGTGCTTCTTCATGGGATGGTCTTGTATGCTATGAATCTAGGAGACAGTAGAGCTGTGTTGGCTACAAGTAGTCTCATTAAAGATGATCCACCTCGAGCTATTCAATTAACTGAAACTCATACACTTGATAATGAGGAGGAATATAGAAGAATTTTAGCTGATCATCCTGATGATCCTTCTCCCGTAACTGGCGGAAGAGTGAAAGGAAAGCTGAAGCTTACTCGTGCATTTGGTGTTGGTTATTTGAAGAAGGTAATTTGGTATTGTTAGCGATTTTTTTTGTCAGTTTAGAATTTTGGCCAAACAGATGTATCGGTGTAAATCCTTTTTATGTCTTGTGCAGAGAAATTTAAATGATGCTCTCATGGGAATTCTTCGTGTTCGTGACTTGCGTAGCCCACCATATGTTTATACTCATCCATTCACCACAAGCCACGAGGTTTCGGAGAATGACTTGTTTGTTGTTTTGGGAAGTGATGGATTGTTTGATTTCTACACAAACGATGAAGTTGTGCAACTGGTTCATCAGTTTATAGAGGATCATCCATTTGATGATCCAGCAAAGCATTTGATCGAGCAGCTTTTGCTAAGAGCTGCAGAAAATGCAGGTATTTCACAGTTTATAATGTTTTTTAATTAATGATTCATGTACATATTCATGATATACTAACATATGTTGCAAATCAATAATTATATATGCATTATTGTATAATTGATTTGATATCGAACTGACGAGAACATGCAGCAACAGACACGAGTTTCGATACATGTGCATCAAATTTATGATTTACAGTTTTGTTATTCAACCTAACTTTATAATTTAAAAATTTTAAGCCTAATCATATGGTTTGTAAGCTTCATTATGATGTTAAATTTTAGATTTCCTCTGTCACTAGAAAAATTAGTTTAAGGTATGGGCTTATGTAACTCTGTTATTATTTGTTTTTTCTTTTTCGTCCTTTTCGACCAGCCATATAATCGCCTCCTTTGGATAAACCACAACAAAAGCTGCAGCGAGTAATAAAATAATCTTTCAGATTTTCTTTCTAATAAACATGGATTCCTTTCATGTATAATTTTCTTATTTAGGTTTATATTATTATTTCATGTAATTTAGTAACTTCTTTTGGCAAACAGGTCTTACGACTGAAGAACTGATGAACATTCCTCTTGGGAGGAGGAGAAAGTATCATGACGATGTTACTGTCATCGTGATCATTCTAGGTAATAAGCAAAGAACTTCAACGGCATCCACAGCAATTTAGATGAGCATTTTAGCGTGTTAGTGTACGTTACTATTTTCCTCGAGACAGTTTGACGGAGAAGCTTTAGCTGATGAATAAATGTTGTCGTTGCGTCTATATCGAGATGTCTGACGATTAGTGCCCTGTTGCGCTGTTAATAGGTCTCATGCTCGATACATGTTACAAGTATCGCAAGTATTGCTTTGTTTTCCAAGACAAGTTATCCATTGGTATTTAGTCTTTGTTAGTCCATATGTTGATGTAGCGATTGCTCCAGCCAGTGTTTAGTCAAGTGTTACTTAAAAGATTTTGTCTTGATTGTGATGCTGCCAAGGTAAGGGTTGGATAGGAAAGGCAAGTACTCATGGAACGGTTGATGAGGATGATGGTAATGTGTGAGTGGCAAACCATAAACAACACTTTCTGGTGCTCAAGCTTAAACCTTCAATAGAAAATCCAAAATCCACAATGGCATGCTCACAACCTGAAACGAAAAATCCAATGAAAACAACTGAGATAGGTAGATGCATGGAGCGGTGGCCACTTTTACACTCTCGCGAGTCTAATGGTTGTTGGCTTCACGATGATATCATTAGAAAAGTGCTGCACGACCTTTCAAGTTGCCCATATATGCGCCACATCGTTGTTGCTACAAAGGCACACAGACAAGCTTTGAGATAAAGGAATCCAGCAAACATTAAATGACAGGTACACACTGCCTTTGGGTTAATCATGGACTAGCGCAAGTAGATAATTTAGAACAAGCGTTAGTCTGACATTCTTTTGAAGAAAATAACACCAGATTTGTGTTCGGGTGCTCCATGTTACATAAATGACAGAATTTGCTTCACCATCCAAAATGCGGAAACAACTGCATGAAAGGTAGGAGAACTTTTCCGGAAGCAAATCTCCTCTACGAAGCTTGATTTTCATCAGCAGCTGCTTCAAATGTCTCTCCAGGCACCAGTTCAGGGACATCATCCTCATCATCATCCTGCTTTGCAGCGGGACCTGTACCCGGTGCCTGTTTCTGCAAGTGCTCTGCAAGCCTCTTCAGGTTCTCTAAGTTATCGGGCCCTGAAGAAATTAGAATATTATCATAATGTCATAACATAACAATCTGAGAAAAATGAAATCTTTTGTAAGTGTGAGAAAGCAAGTGCAGCAATTCAGATAAGCTGTTCGCCAGTCCCATACAAACAAATGCAAACAAAGTGGAAATAACCACACAAAATAGTTAGTGAACGAGGAAATTTTGCCAGCATTAGCATTCAGCATTTTGAAAAGTAATAAACATAGTAAACATGAAATCAAAACAATGCAGCAAGATCAGACACAAACAGTTCAGCAAGGTCCCTATTTATCAAAGATATATATCTTGAAGCCATGATTGATGTGCATTTGCAAATTAGTAGACTAGCAGAGATACACAGGTTGTGGTGGAAACCAAACATAAAGTCCAACCCTTCGAAGAAAGAATGGCAAAAACGGGCTGGTGGGAGTAATAGTACCGAGTTGGTTAATGATCCCAGGTAGCAGATCTTGAAGTTCTGTCACCAGAAAATGCCATGTGTAAGTTGTACCCAAGAATTTCAGAAGAAAACAGTTCAACAAAAAAAAATAAAATAAAATAAAATAAAATTCTGTTAACTATCTCTTAACATAAACCAAAATCAGACTATTACGAGAGATATTTATGTACTTTTTGTCTGAGGAGAGCCACTAACAACCCATGTATTGGCTGCAATAGAAGCTTGCACTGAAAAAGAAATAAAGTAGGAAAAAATCATTAGGTCCTTATCAAATAATTCAGTGTTTTTTTAATGCATACAATGTTCATTACCCTTAGGGTTAACAAACTGAATAACAAGATCATCCTTAAAAATGTTGACTTCTTCTATAGCAGGAATGGCATTTACGCCTATTCTTTTCAATGTGCTCTGTAGCCTCTTATCATCTGTTGTTGTAGTCTTGTGAACTGCCTTCTTCTTCCTAGTCAAAATGCAGGTAAAAAGAAGACATTTACAGCGTGCTCTAATCAGCCTCTAAAAATAATATTGCAAATTGCAGAGTAAAGAGTTTCAGCCTCCTAACTATACAAAAGTAACTAGTGAAGGTGTTATCATTCCAAAGAAGGTGCCAAAACAATTAAAACCTGCGCATACTGCCCTTTCCACCAGTGCGAACAGCACCGGCCATCTTCATGAGCTTCTCCACATTCATCTGCAAGAAAAAAACATCATATGATGATGGAACTAGAAGGTGATACTGTCAAGCCCTGGTGAAAAGACATATTCCAACTAAAGCTTTCAGCTCTCAAAGCCAGCAAACAAAACCAAGTCCCTTTCACTGACTGCGTATGATGACCACTAGTATAGGATCAGGACGATCTTTACCAGGAATGAAAAGTTCGAGTAGCAAAAGCAACAATAAGGACTTTCAGATAGGGATTAAACATGACAAGGTGAATGATTGAGAAGTGGTCATCGAGCAGCTATATGAGTTTTTTATTACATTACCATTTATAGCATCTCCATTTGCTTCAATTTTTTTTCAGAGAAAAAAATAACAATGATAACGATCTCTGCTGCTGACTTTTAATTATTATTATACATCACAAAGCTTAAAAATCTTAAGGTATACATATACGCAGCAAGAAGATTAATTTGGTTGACTGCAAAGCACTCTACACACTCGAGAGGCGCCTTTTGCCTACGCCTGTGAGATACTAGCCCTTAATGCACCAGCTCAGATAAAATGGATTGTTAAAGAAGCCCGAACCATCTAACATTCAGCATCTCGAACAGAGGTAGGACACATCTATGCATCAAAAAACGACCAAATAAAGATCAACATGCATTCCCCATTCATAAGATGACATCAAAAGTAGTAGCCCTAAGAGACAGGCTCTGGAAACAAATTCCACAGGCAAGAATGAGATGAGATCAGAATTCAGACACCAAACCTTTTCCAGATGGCTAAATAACCTGCAACATCTAGTGAAACAGCTAAAACCCTGAACCCTAATAAATGAGGAATCAGTCAACCCTTCGAAGCAGTCGTTAACTTAGCGGGACGGGGACATTTGAAGGTGAGATGACAGGAATCACCTTTGCAACGGAGGGAGGGCAAGACGCGAAGGAAGAAGAGGAGGTGGTGTCGCCGGTGGACGCCGACGCCGCAACTGCGCTACAGGAGAAGGGTAGGGCGGACGGAGCATAAATGCTTCGTCACTCGACCAGATTACTGAGGTGCCCCGGTCCTTGATTGGAATTACGAAATTGGTCGATTAATTCATCCAAACCCGACCCGATATATATATATATACATATATATATATATATATAATATTCCTCATCTTATTTATATTCCAGTTAAAAAGGGAGGGAAAACACTTGCGTTGATATAAATCGGTGCCTTCAACATTTATTGGTGACGGGTGATACGTCCAATTGACATATATAACCACATTTCCCTGTGCTTATATAAAAAAATAGTCTTTTATCCTGGGCCGGGTCGAGAAACATCTTTTGCAGACCGGCCCGGTCAAGGTCGGTGCCGTCGCATGGAAACACCTTGGGCCGAGGCGTGGCGCATTCAAATTCTGTAGGTCTTCCAGGTAGTTCATGAGGCCATGCTTCGTCTTGGGGACAGAGCGGGAAATGGCGCTACGGAAAGGTTTCCCTCTTCCCTTCCTCTATTTCTTTTCTCTCCGACGCCGAAGGTTTTTTCCTCTAATTTACTCCACGTTTTTTCTTCTTTTCTTGATCGCTTTATCTCTATCTCTGTTGGTTGTGGTTTATGGATCTCTGTAAATCTATATTGGTTTTGATATGTGAGAAGCCGATGATGACGAACACTGTTGGCGCGCGCGATCTTGGATCAGTCGCCTTTGGTGATGGTGAACTCATGATTCTTATGATTATATATGGCCCTCAACATAGATCTTAAATCAATTGTATCTTCTCTTCGATGTTTCGTTTTCTGGTCGTTATAAGGCGATGGTGGGGCAGCTTGGATGGTCGGCATGGGAACCGCAGCAGCCATGTTTAACTCTTTGGATGGGATTCGGTGGAAGAGAGAAGAAAAAACCAGATCGCTTCTCCTCCGCTGATAAGAGAGGAGAAGATGCAACATCACTTCTCCTCCGCTGAGAAAACGGAGAAATGCAAGATCGTTTCTCCCCGTGATGAACAAGTAGCGAATCTGAACCTTCCCTATTTATTATTATTGTTATTAGATCTAGAGTTATGGCACTTATGTTGGAGTTCAGTCTGCGTCCACTTCCAGCAGCTGCCTTTCTCCAAGCCTAATTTTGGCACCCATGTTGGAGTTTAGTCTATTTGCTCAAGTGATTGTTTAAGGTAGCATTTTGCCCGGGAGCATCAAAAACCCTTCTGTTTTTGCATTTTGTTGAAATAAAGCTTGGGCATGAACCTGGGAGCATCAATTAATGTTGTAGAATTGTTTTTATTTTTCCAAGCTTATTAAGGATTTAATAGGTTTAGACCAGGATTATCCTATCTAAAGTATCCATTTGCTCCAAAGGTTGTTCTATTCATTAGGAGCTGAATCAGATTTATAGGAATCCCTTTTGTTACTCCACTCAATAGTTTCAGTGTAATACTCTGTTAGCAATGGTCGACATGAACCATGTTGATTTAGTTATTATTGCCTAAAACATGTGATGTTTGAAATGGAAGAAATATTTAAGCAATCACTTTCTGTGTCTTCACTCTTAGGCAACAGAGTCTTGATTCTGTAGAAGTATACAAATTGTGTTGCCTCTGGATGCTGTCACACTGTTTGTTGTCACCCTTAGACTAACAGAGTCTTTTAGTTTTTCTGCATATATATGATTTTTGCTTGATTCTTAACAAATTTTCTGCATTGATTTCAATTTTTTTTTAACTCACCACTGCTCCTTATCATGTTGAATTTCTCCATACAAACGATTATTTTAGGCAGCATTTGAATCTGGGAGTGTTAATTGGTCGTTAAGAAGTTTATCCAGCATATTGTGGTAGGGAGGAATTATAAGCCGATCAAAGTTATTAATGATGATAGTTTTAGTTGAAATAATATGCCAAAGTATGGTTGTATTTTTAGCATGTTTAGAAAACACTTCATGTATAAATAGAAGTTTCCTTTGAATCTTGTTGGTGTATACATTCATCGTATTGGAAATTTTTGCTGGCTGTACAGTAGATTGTTGCAATGGTGTGCAACATGTTCAAAAGATTTACTTCCAGTGTCAATTGTAGATCTCTTGCACATAGGATTTGGCATTTCCATGGATAGTATCCAGAGATGTTTTTGTTTGAATAATTATTAATGACATGTTTAATGTTTATGTTTATGTATATATCTAATCAGGTGCATATATGGGAATCAACATGTTTGCAAGATGTCACGTTCTTTATTACTGTCGGAGCGATCTCGTCTTAAATTTGCTTTATTGTTTTTACACATGGTGTGTCCTTTGAAATTGTCAATGCGATGATAATGGGTGATACCATGCTTCATGTGTTTGATCCATGTCTGTCCCTCACATTAGGTCTTTGCAAAGATGTTTTGGCAACTAAGACAAAACATGTGTTATCAAAACGTGTCAACACATTTTGATATTGGTTAAGTTTACTTTTTCGTTCCTCCAGTGTATGTATGTCATCACAATTTTTCAGGAAATAGAGCTTTATTCATGATTAAAGTCTAATAATCTTGTGTTGGCCATGCATGTACTTCATTTTTTTTCTAAACAAGTCACTGGCCTCTTTTCAAGTTTAATTCCTGGCACTCATGTCAGACTACTGGCTCTAAAAAGATTAATATATGCATTTGTTGGATCTAGGAGCGTTAATTACTGGGTTAGATATTTGTCTATCATAGAGGTTGCGAGGGATTTGTCAATCGTGTCAGACTACTGGCTCTAAAAAGATTAATATATGCTTTTGTTGGATCTAGGAGCGTTAATTACTGGGTTAGATATTTGTCTATCATAGAGGTTGCGAGGGATTTGTCAATCGAAGTAACTTGATGAGGATGATTTTGCTTGAAACAATCCATCAGGAATTGAGGTATTGTTAGTATGTTTACTATGAATTTCTATCATCATAAGTTTCTCAATGTTATAGGTATATGTATTCGGTATATATTAAATATTTGCTGGTTGTACATGCTTCTGCAATCAATTTATTCTCTTGCTGAGCAAGATTTTGACGTTTATATGGATAATCTCTTTAAAAGTCATTTGTTTGTATAGTGATACAAGATTAGTGTGACCAGATGCAGAATTTAGTTAAAATAATTATTTTCTTGCTGTTCATTTTCTATGGATAACCTCTAGAAATGTTATTCGTTCATATGTTCATATATAGGATTAGTGGAAGAACATGCACGTATCTAATTTCGATACTTGGCTTCTTTTTCTTTTTTATCGCCTCTCTGTTGTAGTTCTAAGAAGAATATGCACTTCATGTTCTGTGAGTAATATTCTCTTGTAGTAATTTCTACAAATGTTGTTTGTTCGAAGGATCACGTTGGATTGGTGTAAATGTTCTTAATTTAGATATCTAGCAGCTTGCTTTTTCTTTTTTCCCTTCACTTTTGGGGGCAGTTTGTTTGTATATGATGTCTATCAAGGTTTTTACGTACACAATTTAGTCTAAAATATAGGAACTCTTGATCTTAAATTGCACAAGGATGACTTTATGGTAGCAAATTGTTTGGGATTTATATACAGATCTTAAATTGATTGCTTTATGATGAACTGTTAGTAGGGTTTCTTGCTATCTCAAACTTAGTCATTATCATCAGACACGGCATGTCTTTTATATCAAATAATGCAGTGTTAATTGTTGATTCTTGTTTACAGATGTTTCGGCTCATTAGTACCTCAATTCAAACTTCTTTTTCAGCTTTGGTGCTTTTTGCTTGAACAACACCTATGCGTATTGTGTGATAATATTGGCTCCATATGCTAGCATGAGTTGACGTTTGATATTAGTCTAAATTTATACAACATTTTAATGAGAATGTGCTGTCACAATGCAGCTTGCATGCTACTTTAGGCCTTAATTTGAAACTTGGCTATAACCATAATTTTGCATGGGATACTACTTTGCGTTGGGGAAGCCCAGTCTTTTTGTCAGATGTAACCCCTGTGAAATCATTAGTGCAAGTACGGCTGTCATTGTTTATAAGAATTTTAATTTTCTTAATTTAGATAACTAGCAACTTGCTTTTTCAAGGAGAAAGAGATGGGATTTTGGATTGCCCATCCTGCAACGTAGGGCTGCGAGCCCGCCTCCGCCATCACATCAAGCAGTGTAGGGTTGCAATGCCGACACATCTTGGAGTCTGAAGTATCATTGATTGGTTGTGGTTCACCGCGCCACGTTGGGCTCACATATGTACATCTCTGGCTGTGGTTTTCCGCAGCGAGATGGGAATGACAAGTGCTTTTGACGGAACAAGACAAATTCTGATGAATCATTAGTACTATTCTGATACATCCACAAAACGACTGAGCCCAATTACTTGACAATTCAAACAATTGCATCAAATTTGTAAGTTATTCATTCGATCAAGATCCTGCGCTCTGAATTTCATAAGATATGATTTGATCCAGTGTCAATAGCAGGGCGATGTACTAATCGTGTTAGGGGCTTGCAGTAGATCGAGTTCAATTGTGATGGGCGACTAAGAGTCTAAGAGCACATGTCGTGTCAGTATCCTGATTCTAACGAGTCTGACCCAGCGGTAATGTACCCTTAGTTCTTCTGTTGTGATCTGGTTCTTGTTGTTCTGCGACCACTTATAAGCAGTTTTTTCAGTGGGGTTGCTGGACTTCTGCTGATGAGCTAAATAGACCATCAATTAAGATCTTATTCCCCACCATTGAAAGAGTGAAAAATGGACGGCGTGGCATTTGGGATTCTAGGCACTTACTTTCTCTGTCAGAGGTAAAAGTCTTTTTCTTTATCTATTTGTCTGCCACTATCAGTTAATGACTTGCTAGTAGTATGTCTGCCAAAGTACATGTTGATTTTCTTCAAGGAACTCAATTTGCTGCCAAATAGTTGTTGACATGATGAATTTCTAGGTAACTATGTTTTTCTTGCTAGGGCTTCAGAAATGTCGTCCTCTCATGTTATGGTCATGAAAGAAGAGCCACTTATTCTAGAAATAGTTAATAATGCTACGTTTCTCAAGATAACCTGATCTGTTACGCAGAGAACCTGGCAAAGGTTGACAACTACTGGTATATTTCATGATGCCATTCCTTGTCCATGTGAAAGGCTAGGATACCCAATGCATGTCAAGGTATCTTTTCCACATCATGAGTTGACTTCTGATTTCTGTAGTGTTACATTATCTGTGAGCCTGTGATTGAGGTATTTTTTATTAGGTAGCTCAGAGACGTTTCCAATCTGGAAATGGTATGTTCTCATTTGGTTGGATATATATTGGGTCACACAATTTCAGTCCTGCTGCTTGGGGAAACACATTGCTTTCTTCGTCAGAATCAAAGGCTCCAAAACTGCATATTTGTATGAGCTTGGTGTCGTCTTGATTGTGCCCCCGCCAGATCTTTCGGATACAGATGGTAGAAACAGATTTAATCTTGATGATTTCGTTCTGCCATTTGTCATGCCTGCACCAGAGTACCAAGATGGTGATAGACCAGCTACAGCACAAGCCATGCGAGAGGCCTGTGTTGAAGTCACTTCATCAAAGGTATTCTTGTCAGAAGATGCAACGGAAGAACTGAACGACGATATCCTAGATGAAGAAGTAACTTTTGAGGAATCCGACTTTTCCATCCAGGAGAGTGAAGAAGAGAAAATTTATGCTGAGATGCTTTGGGGTCAAGTGGACTCTGCTGGAATCTCTTTGTGAAGTAATGCAGTTTCTAAATGTAGAGATCTGTGCAATTTATTCTCATATGCATAGACAAAAAACACACACATATACTGTGTTTTTGTCTATATATATATATATATATATAT